ATAAGAGAAAAGAATTATTTTTTGGTTTGTTAAATACAACGAATTGTTTGATTCGATCAATTGATATGTAAAAGTATTTATGTGTGTGTAATACATACCTAACTAACACATACATAAATAAAAAACAAACCTACGCACATAAAGAGCTATATAATCGTGTTCAACTTTTACTGCGACTCACATTTGGGTATCGAGGGCACTCTGAACGTTACTCTCGTTCATCAAGTGAAACTTTGACCATTTTGTTTTGTCTGATAGTTAACGAACAATTATTATTATTATTATTATTTTCTTATTTGTTTCAAATCTTATCATTTACTTTTACTAGATTTATACGCGCTAATTACGATAACGTTACTGAGTTGCGTTAAAAATTTGTATATTCATTTATTTGATTTATTTTATAATACACGAGATAGGGTTAAAAAAAAATGTTGAGTATCGATTTGAAAAAAAAATGTGATAGCTAAAATTATTTCCATGTCGTGTTTCGAAACTTTTCAAAAAGTTCGTATGTATTTTTTATTAATTTTTTTTAATTTAATTTATTTGTTCTTTTTTTTTTTTTAATTAATTCGATCGTTAATAAAACTACTTCATCGTTTTGAATAGATCAAAAAACAATAAGATTTAGTTTTATAAATAGAAAATATCTATGAGTTCATTTGAATAATTATATCCTGTTTACATATAGAGAAGGGGGGTACGAAGATGATGATAAATAAATTATCCTCAACTTCGTGAAGATTATATCAACGAAGCGAATAACTTCTAGGATTTGTTCATTGCTTTTTTATTCTTCTTTTCTTTTTCTTTTTTCCAAGGACGATATATCGATGCAGATATTGTTTAACTTCATTCATGAGAATTCTCAAGTTAAATCGAAAGATGATTGAGAACTACCTCAGGGAAGATAAAGATAAAGAGGAAGGTGGAAAGAAGAAATAATCCTTGGAACTTGACGATCAAACACGAATCTTCGAAGAATTTTTTCGCGACAGGATTTACAATGAGAGATTAAGGAGCAAATATCTATACATAAGTATTCGTATAACGATCGAATATGCGTGCTGCGATGTCTCCTTCGACACACACCCATAAATATGTGTGTAGCTATGTATGTATGTGTGTATGGCTTAATCAAAATGCACGCGAATTGACTTGCATTAAAAAAAAAAAAAAAAAATGACGGAAGAAACTGGTGGGAAAACCCCTTGTACGAACGGGACGAATTAATTAGATAATTTATTCGTAAATAGAATATAAAGAATGATCTATAAATAAATGTAAGTTTGAACGAAAAAAAAAGAAGAAAATAGAATTGTGCTCCTACACGATAAGGGGATCGAAACATTTCAAATCACTCATTTATGCGAAAAGAAAAGGGGGATGAAAAAATATTATATGGATTTAAATTTTTTCAAAGGATAAAAATAAAAAGTAGAAAAATTTATTCGGACACTATAATTATTTTTATATTAACAATTGTGTTTCTAATATTTATTTTTGTATTTTTAATTTAAGTATAAACACCTAGACTTCAAATATCACGAATACGGATCATTAATATTATTGATTATATTATATTATACTTGTAAAATATTCTTACACTTTGATACGATGAATAATGCAATAATAAAAATTCCCAAAATAAAGACGAACGGATCTAGTCTCTTGAATTAAAAAAAGAAAATCATGAAAAAAGATTACAATCACGTATTGTAGCACCGTTTTGCATTTAACGCACGTGAAATATCCTATCTCGAACTAAATCGAATCTATCCTTACATAAGTAGGTATAGATTCCATGGGTTTTCTGTTCATTCATGCAGGTAACGTTCAGTTTGACGCACTTGTGTGACAATGATGATTCATCTGTTACTTCGTAAATGGAGAAGCCGTTTTAATGTGCTGAAATAATATTTGCCATAAATCACGAACTCTTCTACCATATTTCTAATTAATCATGATCTAACGTTATCCTAAAACGGAAGCTTGCACGATATGGGAGAAAGAAAAAAAAAAAAAAAAGAAACGTATATACGAGAGTTTTGAACATTACCGAAAAAAATATTTCTTCATTTATTTTAAACTAAAACGAATTTGACGTAAAAAAAAACAACTTTTACATATTGACCATGAAAAAAGAAACTAAAAACTGTTAGATTAATAATTGAATATAATTATTTTACATTATTTTTCATTATTTCTTCGATATCTTATTTATTTAATTTAATTCTAATGCATAAACACTATTGTGTTTCTATAATTTAAGAATATTTTGCAAGCTATTAGAATTTTAAAACCGGACGTTAGGTCATCTGTTAAGTTTTAGAACTTTGTAATATATAACCTAATTAGTGTCTATAAAAATTATATTAAATGATATAAAAAGTATAATAAATGATACCGATGTTTTATACTTTGTAATGCGTTTATGTAATATATAACCTAATTAGTGTATATAAAAATTATATTAAATGATATAAAAAGTATAATAAATGATTACCGATGTGTTATACTTTGTAATACGTTTTTATAATCCACTTTCAATGCAACGAGTTAGCATGACGCACTTTAAACGTGCGAGATAATAATTATTTCGTATTGTTTCTTATAATACTTATGAGAATCTTACGTGTTATTACATCAAAGGAATTGTTTAATCTAAACGATAATAAAAGAATACAATTATAATCACGGGATATTTTGAAACAGAAAATGCCTTGCGTACTTTTTAATATTCTTCTCTTCTTTTTTTTTATCATCTTCTTTTGCTGGAAATATGGAAATATTCAGGACTTATTATTCGTGCTAAATCTTACGAAATAAAAGAATGGTCTGAGTTAAAGAACAAAATAAAAAAATTATAATCACTTCTATTCTCGGTGTGATCATAAATAACGACAGATTAATGACTATAATAATCATTTTTTAATAATCTTCAACTCAAAAACGATTCAGACAAATCGATTCGAGTCTGCAACAAAACGATCATTTGTATTTAAAAGAAATAAATGAGATAAAATGTTGCATATAGAATATCGTAAATACTTAATGAAATTTTTTAATTTATTGCATAATAAAGATACAATAGGAAATACCTGAAAAAGTCATAAAATTTTTAGATTAAGAATTCTCAAATAAATTTATTCTATAAGGAAGAATTTTAAAAATCGAATCGAACGATATTATACAAATAGCTTAGCAGGTTTTTTTTATGATTTGATTTTATTATCACAGAAAACTATAAAATAAAATAATGTAGGAGACAAAAAAAAAAGAAAACTATAAAAAATATACGTCGTATAATTGAATGAGCACGAGAAAGTGAAGGAAGATACGCCACATGCGTCAGAGATATTTCATAAATGGGTTAACCTACTTATGAGAAGAAAGATCTCGACAAATTTCGTCTGTCCGTCCTGAGAATCGGTTCTTTCTCCTTTACCAATTGGATAATATTGACCACTACGTTAAAAGCCCAAAGAATATTTCTAGATAGCAAAAGGGAATGAACATTTGCTCAAAGCTTACGTAATACGAACAAGCTAGTCGACCGATCTATGGCTAAGCAAGGCGTGTCATTTAAAGTCATCCGAAGAATTTCAAAATCCTAACTCTTTCGACTTTTGTACGAGAAAGTTTACCAGCATATTTAACATTCGAACCTGAAAGTAATGTCTCATAGACGCATAACATCACCGATGCCAAATCAGTTAAATTATAAAATATACCTGTTTTTATGCGCCTATATTATATTGGCTTTCTCTTTCTTTTCGTCCAAAATTTATTATATTATCTTTCCCGTTTAATTATCTTTTTTTTTTTAATTTTTAATAATCAAATTTTTAATCGATCGAATACATAAATACTTTCAATTTAGAAAGTGTTATTTAATGATATATCACTTTCGCAAGATAATATACGAAAAATTACAAAATTATTGACTATTATATTATATATGTTCGCAATCCTGATGTGTCGCGTCGCGCCATACGACTATTTGAATTCGAAAGTTGAAAGAAGTCTAATGCGCATGCGTCACTTTAAGCTTGTCGCTCTTTTAGTCAAACAAGTGCTTCATATTCGTAAAACTTAATTAAACGTAAGATATTTACGAGAAAGGATTTACTTTCTATGTTAAATTATCCTCGTTTAATTTACGTATTCGTCTTTTTATTTTTTAGATACGAGGAGAAAAAACATTATTGGAAATAATTTTTACGAGACGAACGTTAGAATCACGTAGTTGCGCGCGTCGCGTCGTCTGCTAACACAGCTGTTCCGACGTCAAGGAAAAAGGCGCAAAATTCGTAATTTTTTTTTTATAGGAAACATCTAATCGAACATAAATAAAATTTTGTTATGATTTAAAAACTTTGTCGGATTGCATACGATAAATCAATACTACATCATTATTAAGCGATATGTTTATGGAAATAAATTATTCATTAAAAGAGAAACTTTTATACAAAATCTAATAATCTTTAAACGATTTTAAATAAAGCGCTGTCAGTGTATTACATAAGTTTGATAAAAGAACACGAGACGAAGGTTTATAATTGCAACACTTATCTGGATGATCTTTAAAATAAGAATGTTTTATGTAATCTTTCAAAATTTCAATAACTTTTCAATGACTTTTCAATGACTTTCTTTTGAAAAAATTTTCAACTTTCTTGAATCATCTTTCTAAAATATTACGATCAAAATCTAATTGATTCCAAAGCTATAAAAACGCGTAATCGATGATACACTCTATTGTTTAATTAAATGCTTGACCGGTTTAGGTTATGTTTAAACGACGTGAAAAATTTCCCTAAAACTGAATGAAACCAACGACAACGACTTTATCAATTGTAAATTAGAATTGAATGCTATAACTTACAAATTCTTAGAAAATATTTAATTAACGCACTCTAAAAGTTATTGTTGATTGATATGATAGATACTCGAAACGTGACTCTTTAAAATAAAAAACGAATAAGAAAACTTACTTGACATTGTTGTACGTTTGTAGTTAAAACGCGTTCGATTTCCGCTCGTGATTTGGTAAACGTCGTTGAAAGTTTCTTTCTTATTTGAGAGAGATGTCCGAACTGGCACAGTTTTTCCGCACGAGCACAGAGCCGACTCGACCCTATACACGCCATAGTGAAAACAGTAGTGAGTCGAGCCGGCCAACTTGGAAAGACTTTCGAGCTAGACTAGTCCCCACCGATATTTTCCTACGAACACTTACCCCTCTCTTTCTTTCATCCCCTCCCTAACTCCCTTCTCTTCTTTGTATACCTTTCCTTTTCCCCTACTTCAATATCTTTTTCAATGCACGTTTCAAACGTCGTTAATGCTGTCGTTTTTTCTTTTCCTTCTCTTCCTCCTCCTCCTCCTCCTTCAACGCCTTCTTTATATGAAAAAGAAGTTTATGTATGAAACGTTGCTTCTAATTCAGTGACGTTCCGCGACTCACTAATTTTATCAATGTGGTTCGATCGCAAACCGCAAGAAACCCACAGACGTATTAACGCACGTTCTCATTTTCCGTAAGAACCAATTGAGAGTAACGTTTAATTATTTAATGGCTTATTTATTCTGAACGGAGATCAATATCGAATATGAAACTGTACTCGTTCAATAAGTAATCGTCGATTATGATTTATCTCTACTGGGTTATTTATATTCTTTAATTATTACAATGATTACTTTGTCTTTTTATATATATATATGTATACCTTTTTTTTCCTGTATGTTTATATGTTTTTATTACTTTTCCCTTCTATGAGTTGAAAGGAGACTTTTTACAATATCTCCTGACAAAACCTACCCCTTTCATAGATACCCTGATTTGCCCTCTATTCAAGTATTAACCATTCCCATCGTTGCTTAACTTTAGTTTTTTCAATGAGACCAAGCTGTTGATATATATATATTAAAAGTACTTTAAATTTTATTATAATTATATGATAAAAATGATAGTCTCTTGTAGAAGCTTGTCATTATCCTAATATCGTATCTACTTGATCTTATAAACTTGATTTACAATATTAATATTTGGCTAAAATTCATCGCCTTTGGAAAGATCATTGCTGTTAAATCTAGTCACTAAAATCTGTGGCATCAAATTTGCTTCTTCGAAGTTAGAATATTCTCTTATCGCACAATCTGTATTAGTTTTGCTCTCCGTTATGTTGAAATTGTATTCTTGTGGCATATCCCCATGATTTCTGTTAACCGTATGCCATTGCGACATCATTTCTCTAAGCGGTTGCAAATTACTTGCATTTTGTTGAATCTTTTTCAACTCTTCGTTACACAGTTGTTCGATTTCTGCCAATCTTCGTTCGTAAGCTTTGGCAACCACTTGACGATGCATGTTATAACGTTTTTCTGCTTGAGCTAATGCTAAAGCATCCTGATATTTCGCAAGCTTCTTCTCATATTCTAATATTGTAAGTTCTGTTAACGCTTGCTCCGATGTTATATCTATGATACAGTCTACAAAAATCATAGACTTTATATACCATAATAATATTCATTATAGAATGATATTACCTATGTCATTAGAAAGAGGTGATTCTGCTGCGTATGCAGATGCAGCTGCACGTGCAGCCGCATTAGCTTCTTCTAATGCTAAAATATCACTTTGTTCTCGTAACCTTTGAAACTCTTCCCTTTCTTTTCTCCAGAGAGTAGCTTCTTTTTTTAATTCCTCTCTTAAATACACCATCAATTCGTTTAATGAATTAATACGCTCTCGAAGGACATGACTGAGAATAGAAATATAGAAATAACTAACAAGATATCAACAATCATTTATCATATAACAGCATTTGAAAGGAAATTCTTTCATAATAAGTACTTTATATATTCGGATTCTTCAATTTCATTGTTCTCAAATTCTTCATAATTTGTATTTGTTGATGGCAAATTCTCTGGTTCTAATACAGCTGATAATTTTTCAAACGTATTATCATACAAAATATCACCATTCTCAGTAGTTTCTACATTTGGAAGATCCAAAGTTAAATTAAGTTCGTCTCGAACTTTCTGATCTTGTTCATTTTCATAATCCTCTGAACTTTCGTTTCTATTCTCGAAATCATTAACAGAAGTTTTGCTACTGAAGGATCTGTCCGTTTGTATTTCTGACGAGGAAGTATGCTTGTTTTCCATCAGGAATATTCGTAATTTTTGTCTTTTATACACCTAGATAAAAATTTGTTCGTCTATTACGTGAATAGTTAAATTCGATCTCGATCGAAGAATACTCGATCGATGTTCTCTTATTTTTCCTACAAAATAAAGAACAATAGATTCACATCTTTCCAAAATTCATTAATTTAAAACAATATATTTCTCGTTAAAGTATAAAAAATTCGTTTAATTATTACATTTTCTTTTTTTAAGTCGGTATAATAAAATCATTAATTTCAATAACATTGATATCCTAATAATTGCTTATGTTCTAATATAAAATATTATTATTATTATTATTATTATTACTACTTATGCATAGATTTGTACATATATATAAAAATAATATTAAAATTATTCTGCACCAAGCGATAGGAACATAAGTTCATATAAAAATATATATTTGGAAATTACTTATTAAATACAAATTTAATAAGTTTATATTCATTTAGATATTTATAAAAGCTTAGGCATTTGCTTTAATGTCGATATATCTAGTATTCTACTGGGACAACTAGTTCGAGGTACTTGTGCATATGGATATTGTTGCGTTGCTGGATTATGTTTAATGTTTGGTGTTTTCAGATCCGTTTTTAGGGATCCTTCCAGGCACATCAGATTATCATCTGCAAATTTATTTTCAGTTATTCTCATCATAATTTTTCAGCATTGCTAAAATGTTTATAATGATATTTGAAAATAATATAAATCTTTTACCTTCAACTTGTAAATTATTTTTTCCTGGAAGCAACTGATATCTTTCTAAATAACGCATTGTAGCAAATGATAAATTAGTCCCTTGCATATTACTTAACATAACTTGTTTCAAAGATGCAGATCCCTGCTTTTGTGTTGTTAATTCAGCAAGTTGCTCATTACTTAAATATTTTAAAGCTAATGCTTCCATGTGCATACTTGTATTTCTTTCAGTTATACCACTTGTAGCACGAGTTATATTCGGTTGAAAATCCAATCGTGGATAAAATGATGAATCAAATTCTACTCTACAAAAAGAATATTATATAATAACATATAGCGTATATAAAATACGTAAATAATAATTATATAATAGAATACATTAAAAATGGATATCTTATTCTTTAAGTAAATCTATAAAATGTCATAGAAGAATGCATACTTTCTTGTATTAATTTTTTCCATTGATTCAGGTTTGTCTACTAAGCTAATACCAAGTTTTCGTAATTGTTCTAAAGTGGCAACTTTAACGTTATCTAATATTGCTTGATTTTCAATTTCATCCTGTTCTACGTTGTGCCTTGTTTTTACATCCTTTGGATCGGAAGGATCTACGGTGGACGAATTCTGCAAAATTTGATTAACTTGACCTAAAACTTTATTATAAAAAGTCCATCCAACTTTAGATGTTCGTTTAATCTTATCACTCTCCTCGTCGCTAGAATATTCTTGCATGTCGACATGAATACTCGGTTCAGGCGTTATGGGAGGTAATTCATTTATTTTAAAATCGCCGCTATTTAGTACCAAACTATCTTCTACACGCCTATGTGTTTTAGCAAAACCATCAGATTTGTCACATCTGTTTTCGTTCTTTGTTTCTGTGTATTTTTTTGAATTATTAAGTATATCATTTGTCGTGCATTGCTCGTAATTATAATTAGATAATATCGCATCTTTATTAGTAAGTCTTTGCATATCTTCCTTTTTTGTTCTTTGTTTTACATCATCCATCGATGAATATTGTTGCTTTTGTATAGGCAATTTATTTGAATTTTGATATACATCTTTATTCGGTTGAGAAAATCTATCTAATTTTTCTATAGGAACACTTCGTGCATTTTGATTATCTACATGGGTTCGTTTATCCTGTTGATCTTTCATGGAACAACTTATATTATAATTACTACTATGTGGTTGACTAGAAGATAAATAACTTTCTGAATCTTCTACTATATTTTCTAATTGTCCGACAGGAAGTCTCGTAAAACAATTTCTCTTTAGAGTTTCACAAGTCTCCTGTAAATGTTTATTATTTTGTCTGTTAACAGGGTCATTTTGTTGTAATTCCTCCTTTTGATGATCTTCGTAGTCTACTACGATAGGATTATTTTGAACAGTAAATTCAAAACTTGTCATCACACCGATAGATACTTGCTGTTCCATTACACCTTTCTCTGCATGTTGTTCGGATAAAAGAAGTTCTGGTTGATTCCTAATTCTAATATCTTTACTACTTTCTATGTTTCTTTCTATAACATTGGTACTTTGACAAGCATTCCTTTTAACTTTTTGATTTTGTGTCGTTTGATAATTGGAAGCATCTATAGATTCTGCATGAATATATCCATTTTGTTGTACAGTTTGAGACGAACAGACGCACTTCTTTTTGTCCATTAAAAGATCTTTCTGCATTTTTAAAAGATTATCTACTTGTGATTGCAAAGATTGAATCTGTTCACTTTGTGCATTCACCAATTGCAATAAATTTTTAATTGTTTCTTGATTTTCCGTATTATTATGATGATGCATTGGATAAAAAGGTGGTGAGAAAGGATACGTAGTCATGTCAAAGTATGGATATGGATATCCTGGATGCGACATCGGTGGAAATTGATTATTAGGAAAAACATTAGGAGTAGTTAAATTATGTGCATGCGGATGGCTTTCCGTATTATTTACATTGACTTGCGCTTGCATACAATTTTGAAGAACTAAATCTTGTTTACTTGTAGAAGAGTACGATGGCATACTTTTGTTATGATTACGATTATCGTAATAAGCATTCGTATCTTGTTTAGGATTATTTTGAAGTCTTGTCCTCTCATTATAGTCTGGATAATCTTTACTACGATTATGTGATGTTGCAGACTTAGTATTAAGTGAATAATTATGCGGTGTACGTGGTCTTGAATGATCCTGTTCTCTTTTGTAAGTATGCACATCTCTTTTTAAGATTTTATTACCATTATCACATGAATCACTATTCCTTTGTACAGAAGTTACAGGATTATAGGAGTAATCATGTTGAGCTTTGTGCGAGTTATTCATCTCATCGACTCTGTAATTGGAAGTCTTAGAAAAATTGTGTTGTCTCCAAGCAGCATATGAGGCATGTTTGTCGAACGAAGGAGAAGCAGCGACAACAGGTTTCGCACTTCTATTCTCCATAGGTTTATCCAAAATAAGTGATACTTCTGGTACTGATGAAACTGCAAAATTCTACATATGACATGTTTTACCCATTTATTTATGATCAAATTTTTAAAAATGTTTAAAATAACACTAAGAAAATGTTTGTACCTCAACTTTCGTTGCAGGTTTAGGTGTAATTCTTGGCTCAAATTCTTCTCCATCGTCGTCACCAGTAAATCGACGTTGCATATTTCAATTTTTTGCAATAACAATATTAAAAATAATTCATGTAACACTTAGTTTTTATGCTAATATGTACCATACAAAAAATTATATTTCAAAATTTCAAATAACGTACAGTCAACAACGGTACACCACTAGCTATATTAAAATTTCACTGACAGAAAATTAATATCCCGCGCGAAATCGTTTCAGTTTATAGCTTCAATATAATTGGTCGACAGCTGCAACGCGATTGGTCAATGGATCGATGTATCTCCATAAATAAGAATTTCAATTTTTGAATTTCGAAGCAAATTAATATCAAAATTAAATACAATAATGATTAAATATGATTAAATTCGTTTTCTACATAATAATATGAGTTTGTAAATTAATCGATCAGTGTGCTAATTGATGACGATAACAAATTCGACGAATAAGAAACGACAAATACTTATCGAAATAATATATTATGGTATCAAAACTAGACAAAAGTAGTGTTACGTAAATAAATTTGCTAAAAAGAAAAAAACAAAAGAATTCTGCTACGAAATCACCGCAACTTGTCATACGATCGATTGCATTTCACCAATAAGAAACGTGATATAAGAGAATTCACAAGATGAAACAAACTTCATATTCACCGATTGGCGAATAACATGGAACAATATAAAATAATGATAAATTCCCTAAAGAATAAACGCTGGTTAGTCTTTGGATTGACCAACAATATTTCGATTATCCGTTTACATATCATGTGACCTTTTCTCATTTATGCAAACCTCAGTAATATTTAGCTCACGATTCTCACAGCAAAACAATAACAAACCCTTGTCTCTTCTTAAAGAAATAAGTGAAGGTAAAATCTTTCTTCAAGTGTGTGATTCGGCGTATCAGGTGTCAGAAGAAGTTTAATTGAATTCTTTCGATATCATCTGGCGATTGATTAACAACAAGGATCGATATTTCATTAGTAAAAGGAAATAATCTTTCGATGGACATGCGATGTTGTCGGTTATAGAAAATACTTGCTGACGAAAGTCTTGGTCATCGTACATGGATATCGCAAAAGTAGATGGTCCAGTATGTAAACCTTTCACGCAGGCATTTATCCAGACTGTTTAATAGACTGTGCAAACTAGTGTTCGGTATTATTATATACCCGATGTTAAATAATATTGACAATTAAGTGTTTTAGATTAATTCTAAGATTGAATATTGACATCATATAAAGCAGTGATTAATACGCGCGTCCCCCGACCACGCGTGTCTTGTTAGACATGCGCTTTTTATACTAATTTAATTTTATCTAATATTGTTTGTTTGTTTTTTTATTTTTCTCTCTACAGATGTTATGCGACAAGTTTTTTTTCATTTTCTTTTTCCTACCCCTAAAATATCGATCAAATAAGTGACATTTGCAGAGGGAGTTGTTTAGAATAATCAAGAATTTTTTAAAAATTCATTTAACTCAAATGTGAAAGAACTAGTATCCATTGTCTCTACTGTGTGTATATAAATAAACTATACTGCAGGCTCGAATAATATAGGTATATATTGTTTATATTATATTTACATATATATACATGTAGATATATATATATATCTTTATATATATAGATTTATAAATATAATAATAAATAATAATAAAATATACATATATTTCAAGAATTAAAAATTTTTACAAATACAATACGTTATGTTGACACAGTGAATATATATATGGTTTCGCGAATGGAAGACGTTTGTTATCCAGAACTTTTATTGGATATTAAAGATAACACAATGGATAGTATAGTGAAACATGAGTCTCCGCAAGAAATGGGTCCGTCATCTGCCTCCGTTCCAATACCTGGAGGACATAGAGGAACTAGAGGTATCTACGACCAATTTTCACCTTCACCGCTTCAAACTTCTATTTGGAGTAATAGGCCAGAAAATGTCGAATCTCCCTTCCAAATGGATCCAGAATTGGAAATATCTTGTAAAATGGATGACGATGATATATTTCAAGTGGACAAATCTGACCTCATAAATGGACCTACACTTGCTGAACTAAATGCTAATGACGATACGCTTCTAGGAGATTTAAATTTTGATGATTTATTATTGCCAGAAGAATATATTCAACCATTAAGGATTGGATCCAATGTCGCTTCTGGCAATTCTTTGTTTAATAGCAATGGACCTGAATTTGCATCCAGTAGCTTTCCACAAACTGGTACCGCATACCGAAGTTCACCAGCACATACAAATACTACTGGATTTCTATTAAATAGAGATATTAATATAACAAATAATATGGATGGTGCCAGTTCTCCTATTTTTATCAGTCTAGGAAGTAGCAATGTCGCAGGTTCTTATAGATTATTACTTTTTTCATTAAATTTGATTTACAGTCGCTATTAATTTTTTCTAATTAATATTATTTGCCAATACTTTTTAGGTAGTTCTACCGCAAGTTCTTCTACTTCTCCTCTTGCTGTAACAAAATCAAGTGGACCATCTGCTCTCCATGAATTATTAATGAAACGAAATGAAAATTCATTAAATAATCCAGTAACTAGTCCAGCTGATACAGCATCTGTTACGGGTAGTAAACCTAAGGTTTCGAGGCTCTCTATGTCTGCACCGACACAATCCATGGGTTTGGAACAAATTTGGGCTCACAGAGAACCACGACCACATCTTTTAAGCACTGGCAGTCTTAGTTTAGTTGAAGCAGGATCTACGAGTAGTTTAAGCACTGGTGGTGCTCTTAGTCCAGATCCACTTGGTTATTTAGATCCCCTTAGTCACGATGAAGGATACGAAGATAGCGATGACGACAGTGACCATTATGACGATTACAGCAGCGATAATGGTATTTAAAAATATATTAAAAGACGTATCGTGTTATACCAAAATAAAATAAAGGAAAATAAATGTTATCTATCATTTTTTAAGAAATATAACGATATTTCTTTTACAGATACCGGTGGTAGCGATGGAGAAGACCAAAGCTTAGGCGACTCGGCGGACATAGGAAGGGAGGGTAAACACAGTAAAAAGGAAAGATTTTTTTGGCAGTATAACGTTCAAGCTAAGGGTCCCAAAGGTCAGCGTTTAGTTGCAAGATCACGACTAGAAGATCCTCACGTATTAAACGAAGCTACAGACCCTGTGTTCAGTCCACATTGTGCCCTAAGAGGTATCAAACACAGTGGTAAGGCACGTAAAGGAGATGGCAACGATCTTACTCCAAATCCAAGAAAACTTCATAGCATTGGAAAAGAATTAGATAAGCTTACACGCGTTATTAAAGTTATGACCCCTGTCTCTGAACTTCCTTTCCCAGCGAGGCCTAAAACACGAAAAGAAAAAAATAAATTAGCTTCTCGTGCGTGTCGTCTTAAGAAAAAAGCGCAACATGAAGCTAACAAAATAAAATTACATGGTCTTGAACAAGAGCACAGTTGAGTAAAAAGATTTAATTATGATTTATATCAAATGTTTATGATTTGTTTAACGATAAAATTTTGTTCTTTTTCATCACAGGACGATTAATCCAAGGCATCTCACAAGCAAAACAAACATTAGCAGCTAAACTAACGGAACCTAATCCTGAAAATCAGGAAGAATTAACAAGACAAATGGAAAAATTTTGCAAATTGGCCACCAGTTAGTAGAAAATAACAAGATAATTATTAATATTAAAATAATCATATCCAAATATCGTTTTGATATTCTACTATTATTACAGAGATACGCATAGCAAACCATTCAACAGATTTTGTCAATGAAGTGTTAAAGAAAGTCAAAGCTGGAGTACCTGATGGTGGCCTTGATGATTTTTAATATAAATGAATCTTTTTTTTACACTTATGTTTATACTTATGTACAGAAGATTGTTAGAGAGAAATCGAGAGAGAGAGAAAGAGAGAGAGAAGGAGAGAGAAAAAAAAGAAATTATGCTTTTACATTAGGACAGCTTCATTTTGTTTTTTTTTTGTGGAAAATGTGCTAAGGAACACTCTATTGTTAATTTATTGATTAATGTGAATAAATATAATCGCTATGTTATAATAATTACAGGTAGAAAATCAATATTCTTAAGAGAATCGCAGAATCGATAATTTTGTGTACTCAGCTTTTCTAATATGATACTGTCTCTACATTTTTTTGTTAAAGACTGTTTGTTCTTTGTTATTGTACATAGTATTGGTTCAACTGTACATAATATTTTTTTTTAATCATAATCAAACAGGAACGATGTACCTTATTTATGCAGTCAAAGTGACCAGTCACCGAGAAAAAACAACCTGTAATAAAATTCTTTTATTCTCTGTAATAGAATAGAAATATTTTTTGTATTCCTATATTTATATTGTTTACCATATTCGCTTAAATGCATATTTTTATATGCATGAATAGATACATGCATACAATTGCACATTTTAAACGAGAAAAGAAAACATAATGATTCATCAACAAGGATATTACAAGTATATCTCCTTTGTCATATATTTGTTTTTTTCTAAAAGGGAAAATGTTAACACCTCGTGTAATATAATCTTGATAATATATTACATAATCAAAGAATTCTATTATCCTTTGTGTATTAAATTAGCTAAACCTTAAATCTCATTTGAAAACGGTTCAATATTTTTTGAGATAAAATAATTATTGATTGAAATGCACAATGGAATTACATATTTTTATATATATATATATATATATATATATATATTTATATATGAACTTTTTTATCTCAAAGGTAGATAAAAAAAGATCATTATTTAATAAATAAACGATCTTGGAGTATAACTAGCTTTAAGAATAATTTCTATTGGTTCATTCTTATTGGTTTAAATATATCTGAACAGTGATTGGTTGAGATTTTATAGGATTAAAAACACTTGCTGCGCAAAACTAGATTTTTAATGTTAGATAGAATGAGATAGACAAAAGGTAGGAAAAGTGAGAGTAGTGTTTGTGTCCTCTGTAGAAGATTTGCGGTATGTACCGAGTGTTAGGTTATTCGGTTCGAATCAAATTTTAAAGTAACTATGCTGATAATAAGAAAAATATCTTGAGTGATTATTATTTCTATTGTCTAAATAATGGCAGAAAATCTGTCGAAACGGCCTTCTAAAGGAATCTTGAAAACTTCCAGCAGTTTCGATAATCCAGAAGCGCCTAGGTAATCATTTATTATATTATATATTATTATACATTTAATATCAGATCACTTTTTTGTTAAATTAAAACGATAATTTTACTTCAAGTTTTCTAGGAAGGATTTATTAAATGAATAATACAACTTTATATTCTATTAAAACACGTTAAAACCGATTATTGTTCTTTTATTTCAATTTCAAATTCAAATGAATGAGTTAATATTTATTTAATTAAGTATTAAAAATAATGTTGACGACATAAACATGACTCACTTCGTATACTCTGTTAGCAGTTCTTACGTACACCCTTTTTAAATGAAAATCATTGAAATTACATGCCATAACTATCACAATAGTTCATTTAAGAGTGCACTATTGTTATGTAAATTTGTACCTTTTTCTATTAATGCAATTATACGTAATTAATAATGATTGAAAACACAACATACAAATATGATATTTTTAATTTGTCTATATAACAGGAAATAATTTATATATATATATATTTTTTTATAGCAAAATAATATGTTATTTAATTATTTTCTTTTTATAGACCAAGTAAAGAAACAAAATGGGATGAAATGAACATTATCGCCACTCTTCATCCACCCGATAAAGATTATGGCCATATGAAAATAGATGAACCTAAAACCCCATATAGTTATGAAGGCCTCGGTAATGAACATGAATTAGATGAAATAGATACTGTTGCGATTGCGACTAAGTAAGTTCTCAGCTGTATAAATAAATGTGTATCATTTGGATTGAAATTATTTAATATTTTCATTTTTAATTTCTTATTGATTTAAGATATATAATTAATGAAGTTTATATATATTTATAATTTAGAAATTGTTAAAAAATTATTTATTTGCATTTAGATTAGCTGAAGGTACTAAGCCAAAAATTTTTGATGAACCAAGCGAGGATGAGGACGAAGAAGAAGAAACACCAGAAGAAAGAGGTAAAACAATTCGAATTTTTTTAAAAATAACTTAGTAAAAATTATAAACGAAATTCTACAATTTTAAGAATGTAGAACTAATTTAATATAAAAGGATTTTATTATTATTTATAGAAAAGAGAAAAGCATTTGAAGCAAAAAGAAAAGGTCATTACCGTGAATGGCATGCTGTACAATTAGCACGAAAGCAGCTATTGGAACAAGATGAAGACGAAGACGAAGATGATGAAGGAGAGAATAAAAATGACAGCGATACATCATCGGAAGAAGAAAGTGCATTCAAAACACGTTTTAAGTGCATGCCGTCCTGTGATAGAAGAGAAAACAAATAAATAAATAAAAACAAAGAAGAAGAAGAATAAAAAGAAATCTTTAGTAATCCAATTTTATATCATAGATAATTCTCTATGTCATCGTTTGTAAATAAATATAACAAAGAGATTAGATTCTTTTTTATAATTTCTCAATTTCAGTATATTACTGATTAAGTTGTTTTTTAACTTATATCTAAATTCTATTAAGAATGATTATAACATCATTATCATTTGATAATTCTTTACATGCTTATTTTTTTTATACTTATTATATATGTGTGATTTATATATTCGTATTTATGTATTTCATTTATATATATATATATATACATATATATGCAGTGCAATGTCTATTATTATAAATTAGATAACATTTTCGTGATAATAATTTTGTATATATGTACAATCGAAAATGATAATTTTAAATAACCGTGCATTTAAAACAACAGCAACTAATATTAATTAGAATATTATATTTTTGGTCTTTCATGTTGCTCCAATTAATAGAAATAATATGACATTGAATCATTGTAATTAAATCACCATTTAACGACCATCACCAACCTCGTGTCAAGATTAGTACAAATTTATGCGCGTGCAGTATTGAATATAATAGAAGAAAAGGAATACACTAATTTTTAGATGAATGCAGTTTGAATTTAATCGAGTATTCCATATTATAATGATTATAATCGTTCTTATATATACATTAAGGTAGACGTAAACCATTGAATGTTAACAATGGACTGAAATATGTAATTAGAAATAACATATTAAACGTAGAATAGCTTAAAACAATAACAACAAAACAAACATATGATTGTGACTAATTTAAAGAAAGTGTACGCATTGATATTAGAGTTGCCATTCGTTTAAAAGTTAAATAACAATTATATATTGTACAATGTATATCCGTCTGATAATTAGATACATTTTTATTCAAACGATAGTAATAATTAATACAAATTTATGATAATATATCTTTTATATTATTAGATTTGCAATTTATTCTTTTCCAGAAAACGAAAGTGAATTAAATGAAAGTTGTGATTAACTATTTCCAGTTAAAAGTTAAGCTATTTTGTAGAAGTATGCTTATTACTATATATTAATAGTATATTTAAATAGTTGCCATGCGTAGGAAGCAAAAAGATGTATTATCCAAAGATAAATAAATTAACTATCTAATTATTTCGTTCTTATCTTTTTATTAAATTAAATATATATGTATAGATAATTATAAATTATGATATTATGTTATGTTATTTTCATGCTACGGTTGTATCAAAAACTAAAATTTAAACTAACAACTTCAACTAACATTAGAATTGAGACTAACGTTTCCAAATTTATGTGAATTATTTCTGAATAATTAAAAACAAAAATTTAATTTTAATTTATTAATGCTTCGTAAAAGGTGTGTTTATTTTATGCAAAAAGTTATTTGCTATTATCTTTAGAATATATCAGAGATAATAAAATGATATCTTTCGAATATATAAATATATATATATTTATAGAAAAATTCATCGAAATGTAGAAGATAATAAAAGAAATGAATGAAAAATGTTTCATTAATTTTGTTCTCAATGTGTACATAAAACTATATAATAATAAAATTTTATTGATTCAATATGAAATTATGTACAAAAGCTTGTAGTCTTAATATAATAAAATTAGATAGGAGGACCGACAATTGAGATTTTTTGTTTTTTAAGCACAATATTATTAACATAACAATGATTATTAATACAATTATGAGATAAAACAGTCAGCAATAAAAGAAGATATATTACAATGCTGAACATTTTGCTATTATTGTTTCATGATTACATAAAAAATAGTAATCCCAACGTTCAAGTAAATATCCAAATTTTCTATTTTATACAATTAACCAATTAATATTAATTGAAAAAATGTATCTGTCTGCTGTGTATATGTGTGTATATGTGTTATGTTTATTTGTATGTTGTGTGATCTTCCGTAGTGCCACATTATTCAGCTATAATTGTCTAGATGTCACAGTATATATACATAATTTATTTTATTCGTCGAGCACATAGAATATTAATTCAAGCACAGTATGCGTATCTTGACTACTTTGAGCAGCCTTATGTAGAATTTGTATTAATTCATTATCAAGACTATTCATATAGATTGGCGGTAACTTTGCACCTTCACTACCAGCTTCATATCCAACCTATGTTCATTTATTAAATAATTTCAAGAATAATTATTTTTCCTTATATTTAATAATTCAATTAAAACTTATAGAATTATGACTTACGTTATCCGGATGAATAGTAGTCCTAACACCAATTTTGGTAAGACCTGCTGTTGCTAAAAGATCTAAAAGTTTAACTAAAGCCGCGCATGTTGCCCTCGCTATACTCTCCGATAATTTATTTATATCCATAGGATCGTGAACACCGTTTGGATGATCGTCTGACTGCACATTTAATTTTTTTTTCTTAATATAGTATAACGTATAATTAATAAAATATTAAACATACTTTGATAATGAAAACTTCAGTCCAACGAATAAATCTACTGGTTCCTCTATAATCTGTAGCGTTATGAACTCTTATAGAAGGTACGCCATCCATTAATTGTCCATCGATAGGACTTTTAACTCTGTCAATGAATATATTGATGAAAATGAATTAAAATTAAAAAGTCCTACATGTAATGAATTAAAAATATCTATTAGCCCTACCCTAGATTAAACTGCACGTCATTTTCTACCCATTTTATATTTACAGTTTCATCTGGCTCAGCTGCGCCTTGGCGTCCGCAACCGATAGAAAAATCATGCATATTTTTAAGAGCTGCTTTTAAGGCTTCCATTTTTTCTGGCATTATTTCTACCATTAAACCATCTTCTACTATGCTCGATTTAGCTGATAATCCCATTGATGACTTTAATGCACCGTTAATGACAATGAAACTTGCTCCAGTTACTGGAAATAAAAAAAAAAACAAAATGCTTACGTCCATATATATTTTGTTGATGTATTATAAACGTGATGAACAAGTTGTACCTGTCCGCGGCTTATTTTGAATATTAATAGCTTGCGTTTGGTAACTACTTTCATCTCCTGTATTAGTTTGTATACATACTAGGTGCGAATCTGCGGTGATACTAAAATTTGAAGCAAATGCCAAAACATGATCGTTAGAATTATTTAAACCTTTTATAACTTGATCATATCTATTTCTGGGAAACATAACATCTGTCGTCCTATTTTTCAAATGAATCGTTAATCCCCTGACACCTGGTAAAGTGTATCCAAAATTTCTAAAATCTGCTAACACTTTCATAACTGTATGTCCTATTTCAAAATAAAGTGCATCTCGAAATCTAACTGAGACTAGAGGACATGGATAGTAACGATATTCAGCACCAAGACGTAATACAAGACGTAATGGAAATACTTTAGCCCATGGTGTTTCCCATCTGATAAAAAAATATAAATTTTATATATATATATATATATATATATGTTCTCTTGATGTTAGTTTAATTAAATAATTATATTTTAAAACATACCTATGAATTAAAAGACCTACTAAAAATGGTGCCGGTGGTAAAACAATTTTTTGTAAACATTGTAAAGTTTGTCGAATAAATAAAAATCCTGCATGTTCACGAGAGCCTAAAAGATTGCCTCCTTGATGTATCGAAACGGAAAGTTCTGTCATCGTATTTCCTGCATGTATTGTAATATAAAATATTAATAAATATTAATAAATAATCTGTAATTTCTTTAGAATAAAAAAATAATATGCGATATCAACCTTTTGTTGCTTCTATGTAAATATGATTAATATACATAAGAAGATCTTTCGGTATTTGCGTTTCATCAGGTAAAGTTTCTAATAATAATATAATTTCGTCTTGACCAACACAGGCCAATCCCTTAGAAGTAACATTCCAACATATTCTGTTTACACAGCAACTTACTAAAAAATAAAAATAAATTCACAATAATACTATTTTTGTTCCTGTTACATAGATTATTTTTTCAACTTACAATTTGTTATTTTAACATATGCATAAAGATTTTTGTTAATAGCAAACATTACTGGCGGTTCGCATTCATTTTTTAACGTTTTATAAAGAAGATCTTGGTCGGTCACGTTATGATAAGAAATTTCTAAAAACATAAAATGAAAATTACAATAATTAGAAAATTATGAACTAATATTTTCAAATGATAATTATTTCAATTATAATATTTTTGCTTACGTCCTTTATGTATGGTAACTGTTGGCGGTAACAAATTAGGGTCTTGTGGTATGTAACTATTAGTATTAGGATCCAAAGGCAATAGGTTTTGTTTTTTACTTCCACTGGACATCGAAGAGGTGTCGGATGCAGATACTCGCTTGCTCCCTGTTTTCCGATAAGGTGGTTTTAAATCCCAAGATGAATCTAGTTCTGTCAGGTCACATCCAGGCCTTATTCCTATGTTTAGTTATTTGGGTGTGAAAACAAAACAAAAAGGATGGGACAGGATTGATAAAATAAACGAGTATTTAAAGAAACTAAGAAAATAAAAAGTATATATGATGTGTGAGGGATTAACATAAATAAGATAAACAAAAAATAGAATAATAAACTTAACATAAATGGATGGAATTTATACACATGAATGATTTTGGGATTATATTCGCACGATTTACATAATTATACGTACACACGTTTCTAAAATTACTACCAATAATTACAAGATTGATTGTAAATTAATCGCTCTTGTTTCAGACGTTCAGTGCTAAATAATGTATTAATTTTTATTATAATTATATATATATAGATAATAGTATGATTATTTTATATGGATTTTACTCACCATCGCTAAACATGACGGACTTAGATCCTTCCGAACGCTGCTTTGTACTACCTTCCCTTTTAAGAACACCAACAGGCACCATCACTGTTGGTGGTGGCGGCGGCAATCCACCTGCTAGTTGCTGTAAAGGTGGTATAGTTGAACAATATTCCATAGGATTATTTGGATTAGGTGGTCTTCCCTATAATCATTTATAAAATAATCCTACTATTAGCAATACGTAATTCTTTTCAATTTAAAAAAGATGCACTCCAAGTATAACATATCTATATGAGAATTGTAGGATTACTATATTTACAATCTTGATCATGCTACTCCCTATACTTACTTGAGGAGAGTTAACATCACTATTGTTACCATAATTTACGCAATTTGTAGGCCAATTACTTGTCTCGTGTTGATTTTCAGCTACGATAAATAAAAAACAAGATTATTAAAATATTTTTATAAGTATATCGAAACAAACAAATCATTTACCTTTCATTAAAAGTTGATAACAGGCAACACAGACTCTTGAATAGATATTACCTTGATATTCCAACCTGTATTTCATATTACAACACTTGTTACAGAGTACCTGCAACAGTAACAATAAATGTCTAAGATAAAGTATAAAATTTATATTTCGTATAAATCATAATTTACCTTTCCACAAGCACGACAATGGTGGCGTCGTTTAAGCACAGTAAATTTTAAATCACATAACATACAACTAGAAGCATCACTATCAGGAATCCAGAAGGGTGGTTGTTTACCAAGTATTTTAATTGACTCTGTTAAAGCATTTTCTGTGAGATCGGCTGCTGTTTCTCTGCTGTTATTACCATTATTTCCTTCATTTTCCGACGTACCTTGCTGCTTGGAAGCGTTACTAGGAGAATCTGTATATATTTTATTTAATTCATTAATTATTTGTTACATTTTATGTTGTAGAAATTTACAATGTTTGGATTTATTAATATATATCACACAATATAGTTAGTTTATAAATAAAAAATATAATGTATATACCTGTTACAGGATGGTCATTCATACTAACTGTTGAAGCAATATCTAAAGTTTGTGGACGAACAGCTTTACTTCCTCCTTCAGTATTTTCGTTATTTTCTGTATTATTTTCTATGCAAACGTCTGTACTTTTTGGTTGTATATCGGTACATATATTAACGATATCGTTTAAAGTTTTATTACCTTGTAACTTATGACTTTTGTCTTTGGTATCATAACTAGTATTACCAAGTATTTGTAATTCGCTAATTTGATTATTATTTTGTTCCGAAGATGAGATTACATCTTTATTATTTTGTATCGTACACGCATTACTTTGAGCAGGTTGCACAATTTCTTCCGATTGCTCGGATTCATTATTTTCGACTCTAATAATATGCTTATCTTCAGAAGATGACCAACTTTGCGTTTCGTTTGCTGGTTGATTTTTTATCTCCGTATCCTTAACATATTCTACATTATCTACAGGATTTTCCAAGTTTTTAACTATTACATTATTATCACTTTGCGTTTGTATTTGTCCTTCTTTATTTACAGGAATAATGGTTGTAAAATTATTCGATTTTTTCATCGAATATCTATCATCATGTAAAATATTATCAGATACTTTGTCCTTCATCATATCCTGATCGTGTTTATTTGTAGAACTTCTTTCAGAACACTTTTCCATTGTAGCTTTTATTTCTTTTTCTACAATTTGGCTATTGTCAATTTTATTAGTTGCTAAATGAATTTGTTTATCATCCTTGGACTCTTTGTAAGAAAACGTATTATTACTTGTATTGTTCTCAATTGTATTTTTATATCCTTCGGATAACAAGGCATTTTGTGGATGTACTGCACCTTCTGTTAAATTTTCTTCTATTTCTAAAGTCTCTAAATATTTATTTAATTCTTCTTCCGATAGATCATCGTTTATATTATTAAAACCAACTGGCTTTTGCGCAGAATGTACAAGATTCTTTGATTGATGAGAATTCGACGGTAATGTATTCATATCAATGTCATGAGATTCTTTAATTTTCTCCAAGGTTATTTCATTAGAAATGTTTATTGCTTCGGTTTTAACTATTATATTAGTATACAATTCATCTGTTAACTTACACGCATCATCTAATTCTGAAAGTACACTTTCCGAAGCACTATCATTAATTTTCTTATCTTCAAATACACGAACATGTTCATATTGAATATTCTCTTTATAAGGTTGAACAATTGGTTTTTTTTTATCTGAATCAATATCTTCATCTGCTTGTTCACTTTTGTATTCCATATGTACACTTTTAAGATCCTCTTGACTACTTTCTACATGTGATTTTGGAACTTGTGATGTATCCGTATTAACAAATTGATTTTTATTTTCTATTACATCTTGATTCAAAGATAGAACAACACTTGCTTCCACGTCATTGTGCACTTCTTCAACTATCTTATTTTTATCTGTCGTAATTTTAGTTACATTGTGATCAGTGATCTCAGTATTTATATTAGATACAATTTTATCTTCAGTAATGGTATCAGTTTGTTTCTTAGGCCTAATCTCTTGTTGTTTATCCAACATACTGTCTACATAATCCAAACTTATAGTTGGCGCGTTAATATATTCATTTAAACTATTAAATACATTGCTAACAGTAGGCTTGATATTTGGCTGATTTAATTTTTTGTCATATCTGTTTTGTAGAAGTTGTTGATTGTTGTTACTATTTTGTTGTTTAGTCAATAACGTCTGCGATGTGTTATTGTAAATGGTAATAGAAATAGGTTCAGGATCCTGATGATATATACATTGTTTTTGTGTAACTTTATGATCGCTTGTAGAATTTTCAGCGTGAAAGTGATTTATTGAGTCTGTACATTTTCTAACCGAATCATCCTTGTGGTAATTATTTTGAGGTAAAATAATGCTCTTGTCGAGTGATGATTTACTCTCCGCAATAACATTAGTTTTATTCTCATGCTTTCCACCAAACGACAATACTTCAAAGTCTTGAATTAATTTTGCACCATCAACGCTGGTTACATTACTAGACGAAGATTCTATGCCACACCTATCCACATTTAACGTAGCATTGGTTATAGGAGAGGTTACAGATGCTATTTGCTCTGCACAATCTGAAAAATCAAATATATTATTCTAATTACGTTGTGTATCAAAATTGAAGTACACGTTTAAAGAATGAAAAGAAAAAGTATGCTTGTATAAAATATGTATTGTAATTGTTATTAATCAACAATAATTGTATTAATAAAATTAACAGTGAATTTAATGAATTTCATTAAGAAACTAAAGAAATAAATTTAAAAACGAATAAATAATTTGTAACATTTGTTACCTTCATTAAATTCGAAGTCGTCAAGAACTTTGTCCAAATCAATAGCAAATTTCTCCATTGTATAAATCACTGTTTTTTATAAGATTAGTACCATGTAGAAAACAGGTTTAGACGATTTTTGATAGTAAAACATGTAGTAACAGTGTCAAAGACGCAAGTACGATGTACACTGTTACTCGACACGTATATATGTATGTACGTATATACGTATGATGTGTATATATATATATAATTAATTTTTTTGTAAACACATACGAAGAGATAATGAAGATTATTTTTTGATAATATAAATCCTAAAATCGAACTTTTTATTATTACAATGATAAATAAACTTTCTGTATTATAAAACGTATGTGTGTATATATATATATATAAAAAAAAAAAAATAAATAAAAATAAAAAAAAATATAACAAATATTACAGTCCAATATCTTCTTTTATTCTTTTAAAACACTTCTACTCATTCGATAAGAAAGTGAAAAATATCATTTTTATGTTGTCAAAATTGTTATTGCACAATGAAACTGTTGAATTTTGGAAATTGAATATTAACGACTTCAGCATCACGTGGACTATTTTTCAATGTTAAATATAATGGTAACCTATTTACGTTGTCAACTGTCATTTTACAGCGGTTGTCATTATATTGTACAGCTCACTATTATACCACTTAGTTAGGTCATCCCTTGCTGCCTACCGTGATGCCAAATTGTGCGAACTCGTGCGCTGCAATCTTATGCTCCACATTGGCGCTAAATTTAAATCATTTTTTATTATCATAGGTTAAAACGTAAATGATATATAAGTTATGTAAGTGTTATATGTATCTAATCAATAAATTAAGACAAAAATAATTACATTTTTTTAGATTATTTTTTAAGCAGTAAAAAATACTAACTCGTAAGAGAAAATATACAAAACAATATTCACAAATATTATTATATACAAATAATTCTTTTAACATTAAGGATTCTACTCCTATGTACGTATATAATATTTTTTTTGTCTGTGTATATTAATATAATATAAATTAAAAAAAATGTATGTGTGCTACATTTAAATATTTTCAAAAATGTTCACACAATAAATCGTTTTATATTTATAATATATTTAATTAACTCTATAGTGATAAAAATCCATAATCAGGCGACTGATATTGATTCCAGAACATAATGTAATTATATATATTAATAACATTATTGGTAGAGCGGAAAAAATGATGTGTGTCTTGTGAAGTATTTCAACACCTAAAAAAAAAGAAGAAATATGTTTAATATTATATTTGTATGAAATATTTAAACAATGAACTTATAAATACTGTATTACTTACTTGTATAACCCAAAAAAGTAATATATACGTAATATATAACGGATATAAACCAAAGCGTATTACCAACGAATCGTGCGCCAAAAACATTTGAATTTACGAGGCCTACAAAATTGTTTAATTGTTTTTAACGTAACACATATAATGAAATTATTCTTGCTTTTAATTACAACATATAAATTCAGACTGTCTTACCATTATATATAAAAAGTTGTAATATGTGAAGTATTATTAAAGGTGGAAAAAAAGCATTCAAGTGAATATCAAATGCATATCCCCATTCGACATCCTGACTTCTATCAATTCTTAAATACCGATTAGTTACAAACCTATATATATATATATATAATAAAAATATTTTATTATAAATAGAGAATGCTGATACTTAGATTTAATATATGAATTTAAATAAAACCTACCAAAAAACAGTAGCTACTAATAAGCCAACACCGATGTAATCAACAAAAATCATATAAAGTAAAAGCCTTAGAAATTGGAGAAAACCTAATCCCAAAACTATGGCAATTCCAACTGCTGACACGCAAAGCCAACATGTTAATAATACTAAAAATGCTGGATCATCTCTTGCAAATTGTGACTTAGTTTCTGAAAATAAATATAATTTTAATTGATAAAAGAAAATGATAATTATTATTTTTAATAGATTTAATATGAAAACACTTACGTTTTCTACTTTGAAAATTTCTATAAACTTTTTGTGGGGCTGTAAATAAAAAAATCATTTGCCATAAAGCAAACTCAAAATCCATTTGTTCGAATTTTAATAACTTCCTCAAGTATTTGTAACATTTGGTAGCAGCACTAATACAATTATGCCTGTAATATAATAATAAACATTAATTATTTTAATGGAAATAATAAAATAAATTGATGTCATACCTATATGTAACTGGTGTTGGTAACGATGATCCTACGTCTACTAAAATTGGGGATGTACAACGACTTGTAGGTGGAGAAGTTGAAAATTTCATTTTGATTCTTAATTATAATCTTGACTGTTTGTCTTTCACTTCTGAAAAAATATAATAAATTGTTAACAATTAATTTTTTTATACTGTTATTAATAATAACTTAAAAAATTACTTTTATTTTATTATACTCCAGACAAGAATATATAATAATACAGGTTATGTAACATAATTTGTTCACAAGCGCTGCTCGTTCAGAACGATTTCTATTAAATATTTCTCAGAGCGACACATTGATTCTCTAAAGGGAAACAAACAAACAAACAAACAAAAAATAAATTGAAGAAACAAAGTCATTTGAATCGAGAGAACGTTAGAAGTGTTTCTATCATAAAGGTAATCGGTTGTATTATTTTTAAAAGTCAGATAAACGAATATTTTATATTAACATATCTATTATTTATAATTAATCCAAAAGTTGTATAATGTTTTGGGGTTTAATATTGCAACCAAATAGGAAATATATTCTACATGAAGTTGATATGTCATTCCATATATCTATGGCAGTTTTACATACTATAATTGACGATAATCAGACAGTAAATGTGATGGTATCTAAAGAGGGTGTTAATTTTTTATTATGTACCTTGGCAAAAGGATTTCATTGTCAATCACAGCTTAACTTGAATTTTGAAAAAGGATCTAAAGTATCTTTCTTTTGTTCTGGTAAAAATAATGTACACTTAACTGGGTATTTCAACAAACCATACGAAAAAGAACTCCTGCAAAAAGACAAAGAAACAACAGAAATAATAGCAAATGGAAAAGAAAATGAAAAAAAAGAAAATGAAGAAGAAGAAAATGAAAAAGAAAAAATTGAAAAAGAACAAATTGAAAAAAAAGAAAATGAAAAAGAAGGAACAAAGAAATATTCACTAGCAAATGATAAGCAGCTTAAAAGAAAGGCTATATTTTCTCCTAAACCTTGCAAACTCAAGCGAATAAAATGCGACAATGATGATGTTGATATACCAGAACGCAGTATGAATAAAGGTACTGACAATTCAGATGCGAAGGAAACTACAGATGAAGAAGAGGAACCGGAAGAAGAAGAAGTAAAAGTAGAAGAAGAAGAAGAAGAAGAAGAAGAAGATGAAGAAGAACAAGAAGAAGAAGAAGAAGAAAAAGAAGAAGAAGAAGAAGAAGAAGAAGWAGAAGAAGAAGAAGAAGAAGAAGAAGAAGAAAAAGAAGAAGAAGAAGAACAATGTGAAGGAGAGGAAGAAGAAGAACAATGTAAAGGAGAGGAAGAAGAAGAGGAAGAAGACAACGACGACGATGATGAAGATGATGATGATTATGAAGTTGATGATAAAGATGATTGTGATGGTGAAGATGATAGTAATAATGAGGATGAAGATGAAGATTCTGATGATGAAGATGATGATTATAGTAAATTGAAGTCATCTAAGAAAACTATTGATGATTTTGAGAATAAAAAAAAAAAAATAAAGGGCGATAATAGCTTTGAATATAATCCTCGTAAAAAACTTAAAAAAAATAAAGATACAGTAGTAGAAACTAAGAAGCAAAGTAAAAACCAACGTGGGGAAACATTAACGAAAGAAAATTTTCAAATAAAAAAGCATAAAAAGAAGTCGGCATTTGTTAAAATAATAGACATAAAGAAAGGGACTGGAGCTATTGCAAAAGAGGGAAAGATGGTCTCAATTTACTATGTTGGTCGATTAAAGAACGGCGATAAATATACTGAAAAAAGAAGTGGAAATGGTCTTCAATTTACAGTTGGAAAAAATGAGGTGGTCGAAGGATTGAACGTAGGTGTAGAAGGCATGAGAGTTGGTGGAAAGAGACGAATTTTAGTACCTCCAAGCTTGGGATACGGCAAAAAAGGTTTCCTTCCTTATGTTCCTCCCAACAGTAACATAATTTTTGAAGTAGAACTAAAATATGTTCGTTAACATTTAACTAAATTGTATTCTAATTAGATTACTTTTCAACCATGTTTTTTTTATTAATGAACATGTCTGATTAATATCAATAAGTTATAGTGTATTAACATAATATTTCCAAAGATTAAGACTGCATGTAATGATTAATTTTTAATTGATATATATATGATATTTATCATGTCTAAATTTTGCATAAAGTGTATTTTATAAGTTATTGTCAAATATCATATTGAAATAAATAATACTTTTAAATAAACTACTGAAAATAAAATATATATGACATTATTATCAGATAATTCATATGACCTACGTATACAATTTATTACTCATTTAGATTTAACCTTAATTTGTATCACACGTCAAACGTCAACGATATTAATAAGACAATTAATTTTCATTAATCCATTGTTATATTTAATTAGAGTTCACAACGTTACATATTTTAATTTTTCTTATAATATTAATTTTTCTTATCTGAGTTAATGCATACCGGGATTTTTTTATAGTTGGACAACCGATGATGTAGTTGATATATTTATTATGATTGGATGACTGGATTGAAGAAATTTGTTGTTACAAAAACGAATTATCAAAATATCTAGAATTGCACGTGTCATTAATACATTCAAGCATAAAACTGTTAAGATTTTATTAGTTTATTAAAATCTAACGTGTGTAAAATTATATAATTAGAAATATGTTCTTATTTTGGATCAACATTATTTACATATTTTTACGAATTTCGATGTTTTATGATGTAAAGATAGATGTGCTCGAATCGCTATCACTACTACTAGCTCTCTCTGGCGGTTTAATTGAAAAACTTTGATAAAATTAATCTCTATAAAATAAAAATAAAAAACATATGTTTTTGTGTATAACAATACGTGTATTACATATATATGTATATATATATATATATGATGTAATTATTAATAGTTTGATGCAGTATAAAAATGAATATTTATTCTATTAAATTGTTATATAGCTACATTTTTAACAATATACATAGCTTCGTTATCACATCCAAATAATAAACTGGATTTATCAATATCAATACTGTTTATTGGTTTATGCATGACGCAACAGAGCGATGTAACATTGATATTACTATTTGTTCCTATTGTATTCAACCAATGAGTATCCGTTGAATCTAAAATGAAAATTACTATATAAATATGACATATATATATACATATATAAAAAAATGTATTGGTAGAGAAATGTCTCTAAAATGACCTAATCTAAGTTTGGATTGCTGCGAATTGTTCCAATGCCATAATTCACCACTGGTCGAACATGTAAATAAATTTTCTGGTCTATCTGGATGAAACATTATTTCGCTCACTGCTCTTGCATGAGCATTAAGCTGTGATATGGGATAAGTATGATGTCTTAAATCCCATACAGTTAAACTACCATCGCCACCACCTGCAACTATTATATGCCTCTGCGTGGGATGATGTGCAATACTCATAGCTTCGGTCTGAAAAATATTTTATTTCATTATTGGATGTTTTAAGGACTATATTAACCATAATAAAAATTAAAATATCAAATGTATGCGATACTTTAGTCTCATCCGAAAGCATAAAGGTAGTTGCCGGTATATCTTGATCGTTTCTTAAGTCCCAAACTTTCATGTGTCCTCGCAAATTACCTGTCAGTATTTCACTATGTCGTAAAAAGTCAACGCAATAAATTGAACAACTATCTGCATTCTCTAGAAACAAATAAAGTTTAATGATAGGGAACTAAAGTTTTTGCAAATGTATACTTCATATAACAACTAATATTTACCAATTACTCTAACCGGTTTCTTTTGCGTTGTTGTTAGAAGGTTTATTTTACCATCTTCCCCCACAGAAACTATATCTTGTTCGAAGTTAGAAAGTGCAGTACATGGAGCGTAATCTAATGTTCTATATGAATGAAAATAAATCATAGGAATGAATTCGTATCAAGTAACATACTTTATAACGTTAACTTACTTAAAACTATGTATAAATTCCCATGCCATGTGTTCTTTAAATTGAGGAACCGGGTTCTCTTGAATTTGTAATAGTCTGATCGAGCCCAAAGACGATGATGCAACAAAAAAGCTACTGTTTATGAACTACAAAATAAATATAAATATCAATTTAGATAAAGCAATGTTTATTGCATATCTAATATTAAAATACCTTTATTTCTGTGACATCACCAAGGAATGAATATTCAGATACAACAACTGGATACGTTTCATCATCATCATTTGTTGTAAGAGACCAATGCGTTATTTTGTTTACCTAAATATTAAAATAAAACGTTATATATTAATGATTTATTATTTATTTTAATTATAAAATCATTCAATGATACAAAAATTTAGGTTATGTGTTAATCACGCATACCGGATCATCCCAACTGCCGGTTAAAAAACTTTTCATTTCTGCAAATTCTTCCCGTTTCCATCTTATCTTTGATATCTTTTGAGAAATAAACGTTCCTTGCACATTTTCACTCATCTTTTAAAATATACTTTATGTCAAAATTTCGATAAAACAAGAATATTTATACGGAGTTACAAATCACGATCACGCGCTAAGAAGACACGCATTATTCTAAAGTCAAGAGTAAAATATGAATGAATTCGATATACAATACGTTTAAATAATGTTAAAAATCTCTAAATTATTCTTTTAATTTATATATAAAAATCTGTTATTTAAATGAAATCGTGTTAATAAAAAAAAAAAAAAAAAAAGAAAAATGATTTCCCGCGCTCGTGCCATTTTTACGCAAGTGAGTTAATTCGATGAAATCTATTTTTGTGGACTTAAGCATCATAATCATCTTAGAAAGCTAGAAATTCTATTAGAGTTAAATGATTCCACAACGTTGAACCATTCGTAATGTCAGTTATTGTAAAATATTCTATATTATTTATTTATTTTTTAATATTTCATTCAACTTTCGTGAGTGCAATCGAACCAGTTTCAACAAATGGTAAATATGATAAAATTTAAAACAATACAAAAAAAAAAAAAATATATTATAATTCATAATTTACGATTAAAAATATTGCACGTGTACTTGCAGTTGATATCGAAAACCATTTAACTGAGGATGATAATATCATCGAAACGCAATATGCAGTTTGTAAAATTTCGACGGAAGAATTAGTCGCAAACGCACGTGCAACCGTAACGAAAGTTCTCACAGGAGCCTGTAACGCGAGTAAGATTGAATCCGATTATAATTTAATTTATAGTTTTACAGGGTTTATATTTTTTATACAACTAATTCTATAAAAACGATTGTTTGTTTATTTTTCTTTTTTTCCAGAAAATATAGAAGAGAGATTCAAGAAATTAGAGAAACATTTGTCCGAAGAATTGCAAGAGATAAAAATACTTCTTCGTAGATTGATGGAAGAACGTGATACTTTTTCGAAAATTAATGATCATACAATTCCTCGAAATAACGAATTAAACGTTAAATCGGATAACAGATTTGTTCGTAACAATTATAAACTTTCTCCAAGGCAATACGAGATTAACGAATTTAATAATACGATCACAGCGAATGGTAAGTCACGAAAGAATGAATATTTACTTATTTTTTATTACAAAATTTTCGAGAGCTATTATTTTTATATAAAATATTTCTAAAAAAATGTTTGACTCTCTTTACAGAATCCTCGAGCGTCTTTACTTATTATTGGGAAGTAAGAGATTTCAATGAGAAACTTTCGAAATGGGACAGAACACGTTCCGAACGTAGTTCAACATTTTACGTAGGTCAACCTGGTTACGCGATGTACTTAAAAATTGTACCGAAATATTTTCCAGATGGTACAATTTTTATAAGCGTTAGTTTAACCCGTGGTCTTTATGATTCCTTCGTAAAATGGCCATTTTTTTATAAAATCCAATTATCGGTACGAATGTTTGAATAAATTCTAACTTCCACACTTACAATTAATGGATTTGATATTTTAAGTAATATGTTTATTGAAGATTTTAGATCAGTCATTAGGAGAATGGCAAGAGGATAGACCATCTCGAATTTGGGACCCAAGTGCACTTTGTACGGAATATTTTTGGAAACGACCTACGCCGATTGGTGAATCGGATAATCCAGAATGCGTTGGATTAAGCATCCCACGAAATATTATACTTTCTAAGTTACCTTTGCCTTTTTCTACCGCTACAAGTCAATATCGATATATTTGGAATGATAGCATATTGGTAAAACTTGTTATATATTTATAATTATTACCAATCTTTTTTGACATCATTTGTACGATTTCGATAGAAGATAAATCCGATGTCTTTTGTTTTACAACATGAAATTCGTTTATTATAATTGTTGTTCACAGATATAACACATCTTTTTATGGTAAATACGTTATTATGTATAAAAGCATAATTAATTATATCATCGATAAAGAGATAACATTCTTAATTACATTCATTTCATAAAAATCATTATTAAAAAAATTCAGCCATTTATATTGTAAGCTGTTGAGAAGAAACCTTTGTTTCTTTAATTGATATAATATCAAAATAATATAAAATAAAAATTTGGCTATTTAATGTTATTTTGATACATTTATTTATAAATATTATTAAATATATTCTGAAATGATTTAATATTTTTCTTTGGCTCTCGATTGTTCATTTTATAAATCTACAGGTATATAATACTTATACTAATTTCTATCAGTCAGTTAACTTCTTGTAATGTCAATTCTCGATCAGGAAAAACTAAAAAGTCCTGTGTTATCTCTGGAAGCTCGTAATCATTAGAACCTCGTGATACTACGGTTCGAATTTCTTTTGAAGCTGCATTTATTAGAGCTTTGTAAATTGGTATTGGAAGACGAATTCCAATTCCTTTCTTTGAATCGAAATACGGAGAATAAATCGAAGTTCCATAGTAACTTCTTTTCTTTCCGCATCCTATAAAATGTTAGAAACAGATTATTATATTTATTGGTGTATTTTGTTTATCATACAAAAAAAATATTATAAAGGATTACATTAATATTTATTTTATTTATAAAAGTATTCTTACCACTAAACGCATTGCAAAATGGTCTCTTCATTTTATACGTTTTATCAGTTGTAAATGAGTTCGAAATATCGCGCTGAAATCGATCAGAAAAATTTGTTACAAATGCAAAAAGTAAAATTTCGAATTTTAATACCTAACAATTTACCTCATTTTCTGTTCCTTCTATATTTCCTATCTTTATTAAAAATATCAATGGTAGTATGTACAAAAGGTAGCCAATTACCTAAAAAGATTAAATTTGTAATATTGAAATAAATGTAGAAAACAATTTTACAATTAACAATTCTTTGAAAATATAATCAATCGGTGGTATAAAGATAATGTGTACTTCAAGTATTTAAAAAATAAAAATATAAACGTTGACGATCAATATAAATTAAAAAATCAATTGTGTTTTTCAAAGAAAGAATTAGAATGAGAAAAACAAATAAAAAATGATTGATAAAAGGTATAGACATTATTTTAAATGTTATAATCCTATAGTCGCAAATAATTCCTAATGTTGCGTAACTTAAATAAAATGGAAATGTTAACCGTTACATAATAAATTCTGTGCTTTGTTTAATTAGAGATTAAAGGAAATACTTCACGTTTTATCAAAAAGGAGTGAGTATCTATGAATTAATTAAATTCACATATTATTGGAATATTATATACACAAACAAATACACTCGCATAATAATTCGTTGTTGTCAAAATTTCAGGATAAATAATTTATCGGAGAAAACGAGTAGTAAATAATTAAATTTGTGAAATTTGCAATTCGATAGTTTGCAAGATGCATTTCGTGCTATTATTATTTTTTTTATTCTATCCCTTTTGTTCATCAATGTTCGTATTAGTATTTAAATTTATAACACAAGCAATTCTTGACATAATTACATTTTGACATAATTATTTTATACAAAATAAAATAAGAAGTACAAAAGTTATTAAAGCGAAAAGACTGTCGTCTTTTATTTTGACACGTCATTAAAAATGTATCAATGGAAAAGATCAATTAAGTATATCGATATTAATATACAAATACTAAGTAAAATAATAATCAATATATAATTGTTTTTATAAAAAGAATATTTAACATAAAAATATATTTGTCTTCAAAGACTTAGGTAAAAGTGAAATATATTCAATACGAGATTAAAAATAGCGAAGAAAATATTCAAAAGTTATTCATTTTTGTGATCTTATAGCATTTTTTCAAAAGAGATTATTATATTCTTTATGTCATCCTATAATAAATATATCGATACAAAGAATTTAAAAAAATTTGACCACCTACTTTTCTTTAGAACGCCCCCACACATGTTGCATAACTTAAATCGTAATAAAAACAATTTTATCTTGCAAACAATTACAGTTAATTCTTTTATAAAAGTTGGAAAAATTAAAAAAAAAATTCTTTCTACGACAAAATATTTTTATAAGTCAATTTTAATACAATATATCTTCATAAATTTGGACTACTCATAAATAGTACCTGTTTAAAGTAGAAAGAGAAGAGCGTCAACAGGTGTAACAGTCATAAAAGTTAAGACTACAAGTAAAAAACCAGTTCGAAGAATTAAAAAAAAAAGAAAACAGATTTTTAGATTTACAGAGCATTAAATTCAAAAATCAGATGCAAGTAGGGGCTGCTCAAAAAATTTAAACCGAAGTTACATTAAATTATAAAAAATCGTCTCGTATATTGCAAATTAAATTTAAATTACTTTCTAGTTATATAAAAAGATTCAAAATTATTGAAAGGAAAATTAATATTTAAAACAATAAAAAAAAACAAAAAAATAAATAAAACGTAAGAGTACATACCTTCATTTTTGAAATTTGGATAAACTTCTTCGCGTATCCCTGCCCTTTTGTATTCTTTCTTTTTTCTTTATATGTTTAAAAATGATTACTTGAGATCGTATATCGCATAATTGGAATTAGAAAGATTAAGTAAAGGATTATAGAATTCTCCGTGCGCGAAGGATGCCAAGGAGTAAGTGTGTTTGAGGATGAAATCGGTGCGCGCTTGCTCTTCAAATATAATCCCCTCTCCAATGAAAATAGAAGAAACAGGAGAGTAAACATTAGAACGCATGACCGTTAAACAACGTATAGTATATATACACATTTTCTTACAGTCAAATGCGTATTTTATGATTTGCATTTGAAGGAGAATTTTATCCTAACACAAGCTTAAGTTTCACTTGCGGTACACCTTAAGATGCATACAAGGAACATCGAATAATACAAAATATCATTCCTCGTTGTTCTTCCTTGCAATTTCATCTTCGTTCAAAATCATTGATATGTTTAGTTTCTGCTAGGTAAAACATTCTCAAGGCTGAGAAATGCAAATTTTTTTATACTGCAATACAATAAGAGAAAGATTGATCGTTCGTGTTGCATAAATTATAAATATATATAACAAGTTGAAATATTATATATTATAATATACGAATATTATATATTACGTATTATTTTATATGTCTATGAACGAGAGTATTATATTTATCGGAGTATTATAATTGTCGGCAAATGTTTAACATAAAGAAATGTTTTTACTACAAAAAAAAAAGAAAGAATAAAAAGGTGAATTAAAAGCGATCAAATCGATAACAAGAAACTGTGAAAAAAGGAGTAGAGTCGACAAGAGTTTGAGGTAAATCATAGAAAAAGGACTGGGGTTAAGTACTTACATCGTTCGTACATCAGAACCCGCTGCGTTACGATAAGGTCGTTCACACCCTTCAAATAATCGTGTGTCATTTTCTTTTTCGCATTTTAAAAAAATTTATATATATATATATATATGGTGAGATTCAAATCCAATATAATAAAAAAAGGGAGAATTAAAAAATTATTTATTTAGCTAAATAAACTAAAATACGCTTATTTTATATATATATATAATTTAACCCTTTGTACTCGATAAACTACTATTGGTCACAACTCGGTTTAACACCATAATTCGAATAATATCGATATTTATTTAGGTTTTATTTGGGAAATACCACTTCATGAATATCTTCAACAATAAATGCATATAAAACAATTGCCAATTTTTAATCTTAAATACGTCGTTTATATGCATTGACTGAATGACCTGTTATATTTTGTACATGGAATATAAATATAAAAGTATTTTATCTGCGTAATATCGACTCGAGTTGTTGCTTTACCAAGCGAAAAAGCGCTAAAGTGAAAAGGGTTAATAATATATGACTTTAATATAATATATAAATAATTTATAATTTTGTTTTATCTTTTCTAAAAAATAATAACTTATATCATAAAAGATGTGTTATGTCGATATTATTGTAATAATTACTTCAGTTGCTTCAAATTTCTTTTTAATAGAAATATCAGTCTTTAATATAATTTTTATTTTTAACTCATTAAGACATATATATTTATAAAACAAAAATGTATTTTTTTTTTAAATAAAATAATGTTACAAAAAAATTGAAGTTCCTTCGTTGAAAGCCCTCTTGAGCTATGGCGAGATATTATCAACTTGGATAACATTTCCCCATGAAAACATCCATCTTTGCTTTGACCAATACTCTCTCGCCTAAATCTTAATATAAAATCAGCCGAAGCTTCCCATTTCAAATTAAGAATAGACGGCGGAGGCTAATAGCAAACTAAGCTACGACACTTTCTGCCTTATTGTCCAGGGACTTTCCTCAGATATAACTCTGAGTCACTAAGGACTCTGTAAGTATCTCCGAAGTTTCACACGAAGGAACCCCGAAAAGAAGAATTCTAAAACTGCATTATATTTTAACAGAACGTACATGACCACTAGCGAGAAAATAATTAGTTCCCTATTCGTCCGTAGATGTCATTCAAGTCAGAAACTTTTTAAACGAAAGGCGGGGAGATACCTTAACCATTTGAGTTTCATGTAAGTATCAAATTTATCAAAGTATTTGCGAATTTTGTCGACTCTATCTCGTTCGAGATAGTGTAAAGTACATTATGCAACCACTAGCGCACAGTAACAGTCGCCAATAGGAAAAAAATTAAAACTAAACCAACACTAACTGTTTCTCACCCACGCGTGTAAAACATTGGCACACGCATAGATGAGAACGCAGAAAATATGAGGGACGGGGAGAAACGAGAGATTAGTTTATTAGAAGCTGAAAATCCTAAACTAAAAAATATAATTAATATACATAAACACATCAAAACATTTTAATCAAAATTCATCTAAACGGACTAATTTTGTAAAACACTACAAGTCATTTGGATTTAACTTTTTGATTGTAAGAATTGTTATATTAAATTTTTTAATATTTAAGAATTTTTAAAAGAGAAAAATAAATATATATAAACAACCTCGGACGACTCCTTTCATTAAGTTGGCTGTTCTAATAAAAGAACTGGGCTTTGAGCCACCACTTAATTGCAAGAATCTATCCGTTCGCGAATTTGGTTTGTCTTCTTGTCCATTTATTGATAATATCGATATATCGATATATTTAAATTCACGATTGATAAACTAATTATACAGCAATGCATGTAAAACAATTTTCTTCTTATCACGAAATCGTGGAAATTAATGCTCGATTTTACCACTACTAACGCGAACAAAACACGAAGAGAAAAAAATGCATTAACAATTTTTTGAATGCACTAATGCACTTTTCTTATATTACTGCTAAATTTTACCCTCGAAGTCATCACTGCGCAGGAGCGGTTAAATAATTACATAAAATAGATAAAAATACTAAAATTATGTCGTTTTGTTGGAGATAGCAGTGCGTAATCGCAGTAATACTTTAAACAGAAAGAATATGTTAGAACAAATGCACTGGTATACAATATTCAATAAAAGTACTTTCATACAAGACAATGACCCAGTATAACGGTGGATTTATTTTGATGAACTTTCCTCTTCGAAATCTTCTGTTAGACTGACACGTTGTCATATACAAAAGTTTTTATTATTGAATGTTGTTTACATGGCTTTCCGAAAGTTGCGCATGTGTGTAACGAGAATATTATTTGTAATAAAGAGAAATTCAAATTATAACGTTCTAATTGTAGCATTTTTTCATTTTTATGTAATTGTTTAAACTATTGTACATTTGTTTTAATGTTCCTGTGCAGTGATGACATCAGAGGGGGAAATTTTCATCGAAAAAAATATCACATCGAAATTATTTAATATTTAAAGTATGTCAATAAGTATATGTAACGCTTATACTAGTACATATATGTTTAAACAATCTGAAATATAAAGAGAGTGTATTAGAGTATTAAAATAATTGTTAATTAATCGTTGGATGTGTCTATTATTTTTTAAAACTTCGGAAAATATGTTCAGAGAACCGACCTCTTCGAAATTCTTCTTCAGACTGGGCCTTTGTCCTCTATGTAAAAGCTTTTATTAAATATTGTTTATATGACTTTCCGAACGTTGCGCATATGTATAAAGGGAATAATCCACCTAATCAATAAAATTTAAGATTATAATGTTCTCATTTTAGCATTCTTTTAATTTTTATGTAATTGTTTAAACTAATGTACATTTTTTATAACGTTCCTATGTAGTGATGACTTCGGGAGATAAAATTGTATGTTGCCGATAAAGAAAATATATTTTTCTTAACGCGTTTTAATCAGACACATGTTTATACACTACAAATTAAATATAATTATTTAAAATTCTATTACAATATAACTATACTATGTCAAAAAATACTGTATTCTTTGATAGTATTGTACTGTCATCGTGTTAAGTACTTACTATTTCCCACTGATGGTCCCGGTAGTATCTAACAATATGATGAATCTGTGTAGATAAAAAAGGGGACTTGTGAGCTTTTATATATTATACTTTTGTATTCTTTGTTCTGAAGTATTCAATTTATGGTAAAGAAGAACGTAAGCGGGATATATGAAATGTTTGAATTCTTCCATTCAAATTGTTTTCATTATTCCAAACGTCGCATGCGTTTCAAATAATTTATTTTATGTTTATTGTTTAATAATATAAATCTTGAACTAAATATCGTTCGATATCATAATATCAACTGGTTGTAACGAGGTAGATGAAATATTTGTATATTATTATAATAATAATAATGATAATGTATAATGTATAGTTTATTCAAAAAGGTTCTTGTTTAAAATACATATAAATAAAAAATAAATGCTTCCATATAGAACATGCCATTATGCGATTCAGCTGTCTGTGTGTGATAATTATCGAGAGAATGTACTTTCGTGTAAAAAAATATGATAATTAAAATTAACTTTAGGCCACATTAAATTTACTGCATATGTTTTTTGTTTTTGTTACTGTTTTTTTGTTGTTGTTTTACCGGCAGCAGAAGAGTTGCAAATTGAGTATTATACAAGCACGTAAAAAAGTAGGTAATTAAAATATCACTCATTGTTTTAAAATAAAATCAAAAGTGTTATTGATTCGTTAAAGAGGAAAGTACGCTTTATATTTTTGATTAATAATCATAAGTTAAATATTCTTTTCATAGCATAAGATTTAATAATTTGCTCTTATACTGCCTTATTTAATTAGTAAATGTATAATCTTACAGAAACTTTAAGAAAATATAGATAGAGATGTTAAATTTTATAAATTATTCATAACAAAGCGTATTCTAGCATGTATATTTTCTTTTTTTTTTCCATTTCATTTTCTTTCCTTTTATCCTCCTTTTTTGGTTTTTTGAATCGTTACAATGTAAATTGACAATATTTCAAGCTATATCTCGCATACGTTTGTTTGCTTGCCTTACTATACTTTTTTGTTTGATGTTATGTTTATTTTATTTTTATTTTTTAATTTCGTAGAGAAATCATTTTACTGCGAGGTGATTCAACAGTAACGCAATTAATATTAATTCATATTACAATGTTTTTTTTTTCGGATAAATAAGTCAGAAGATAATTAATTCATGATATGACTAGAATATTTTTTACACTTCATACATTCGTTTATAGTCTTATGTGCAAAAGTATAATAATAATATTAATAATTATAATAATAGTAATATTAATAATAATAATAATAATAATAATAATAATAATAATAATAATAATAATAATAGTAAAAAACTGTAAGAATTATAATAAACTGTTAATACATAGAGCTTTGGTTTATAGCATTTTTAGCGATATCATCCAAACGAGAGAAGGAAAATGCAATCTTCTTTTCTTAAGCTGCATGAGCTGTAAGTAGTGTAATTTATGTTATCGATGTATTTGTACTCAAAGTACTATCATTGATAAATATATATATCATTCTATAATTGTATTTTGAATTAAAAAAAAAAGGAAAGAAGAAAAGAAATTATAAAAGTTTAGATCTTATATAGTTAAATATAAAGCTAAATTATTGAAAAACAGCTGCATCCAAAAAGTTACACCGCATATCGAGAATAAAAACATTACTTTGTGTATTATTAATTATTCGTAAACTGATACTATATAAAAGTTATACCAAAATTAGTAAATCTTTTCTTTTTTGTTCGAAAAATTTGAAGTACAAATTTTATAATGTTCAATCAATTAATTATAATCAAAACGGAATATATATATATGCATTATTACATTGATATATCAAGATATAACAGATTTCTTTTATTTCTTAATATAAATCTATATGATATAAGCAAATAAAAATTATTTTGAAAAGCTGTATAAAAGAATTGCACTACTTACAATAAATGCATAAATGCAAATTTATATATATATA